TAATGATATCCTGGCAGTGAGCCACTGCGACGTCCACACTGGTGGCAGCAGTACTGTCGAGTTGGTGTCCTTCGCTTTGACTGCGCTGGTCAAGCAGGGGGTATCTTTGCAGGACAGAGAGCTCTACTTGCAAATGGACAATGCGCCTTCAAGTAACAAGAACGTTACTGTCATGGTATATTTGGCAGTGGTTGCTGCCTGGTTTGGACTGTCGAGGACCCAGGCACTGTTTCTGAGGAGTGGCCATTCCCATGAAGACGTTGACCAACAACATGGTCAAATGCCAAGCTTTACCAAGAACAAACTCGACAAGGCAGAGACCCTTGATGACTTTGTGGTCAACCTCACAGACTTCATCAATAATGTCCAGCGACCGCATGAGGCATCCCGATTGGTGGTTGTGCTCAACGAGATGAGGAACTGGAAAAGCTACCTGAGCAAGGTTGGTCTCCTCCTCAAAGGACATGGCGGACAACGTGCTCCTCATGTGTTGGACTTCTGCTTGGAGAAGGGTGATGTGATCCTTAGGTGGGTGCTGCGGTTTGCTACAAGAATTACTGTACTTGTCGTGTCTCTATTTGTTTAGCTAAGTCAACACGCATCTTCTGTCGGTGTTGTAAGATACTTCTACATTGTTAGCTGAAAAGCTGCAGTTGGCTGAAAAGCCTTTATTTTGAATGAAGTGAAAGTAGGCTCAAAGTCATTCTTGGAAAGTAGAAATAATAGTAGTAATAATCAGTTTGCTGTTGGCTGAAAAGCCTTTAAACGAACTGAAAAGCTTAGTAAGTCATTCTTGGAAAGTGTTGTTTGTTGATTTTTACCGTTTCAGGTTGCTCAACATTCTTTGAAGTGCAGGTGCCGCCAGTTTATGTCTGACAAGAGTGTGCCAGCAATCGTGAAGTTCCTGGATTTGCAGGACCTTCGCCAGTTGCCAGTGGGTGGTCCAAAGGACCTATACCCCCGAAGAAACAAGAGCAGGGACTATGTCAAGAACATTCTCAAACTCGCAGATGCTGTGGAGGGACGGCCATGGGAGATGCACCGAGCAGCTGCTGAGCTCCGTTTGTGGGTGCAGGGAAAGCATGCCAAGCATGACCTGTTGGACATTTCCTTTGTTCAGGAGTGCTTGACCAGGCAGCGTCCGCCTCAAAGCCGTCGGCACAGTGACTTCTTTGTGGACAGCATGGCAGGTAGGAGAGCTGTCGGACTAGAGCCAAGTATGGCTGTCATTTCTGTTTCTCGAACCCGCAGTGGCGCTGGAGAAACCGCTCCATCAATGGAGGCTGAATTCATCTATTCAGTGGCAGCTGAGCTAGTCAGCCAACATGGCTTCACATGGCAAAATGCCATCTCAGTTGGAGAGCAGTCATGGGCCAGGTTTCCAAAGTCACATAAACTGGCCATCAAGAAAAGTAAGGACATTGAAGTGGTTGACGAAGCAGACGAACCGATCCTCGCACTGGCAGACCGCGTTGAGCTGTAGTCAAAAGGTCACACCGCGCGCCAAAGTTTTTGATAGATGATTTAGTAGCCCAGTCACGATTCAAGAGCTGAGAAACTGAGAAGATCTGACAAAATGAGACGCACTTTCTTGTCTGCAGCTGATTGGGGAGTGTCAGGATATAACTTTGTGACTTCTTTCAACTTCTTGGGTACTCGATTGAGCTCACTCATCATGTCGATCCGTGCCGAATATTGCTCTGTGAATGATCCTTTGGAGTTCAATCACGCTGGTGTCCACTCGTACCGGCCTCTTGGCAAGGAGCAGGTCCTCAAGCTGGTCTTTGGGAGCAAGCAGATCGTGCTGACTGAGGGGGGGATGGCTTGGTGGTCATACACCCGCCGGGATGACGTTGATGTGTCCAATGTCAACGGCAGCCTGGGGTTCTTTCATGCAAACCATCGCAAGGCTCATAATTTGCAGATTATCCACGTTCGCTTCCGACATTGCTTCGACTTCCCGGTTGGCAACATCATCCTGCAGGCCGAGTATTTGAAGGAAGGACCACGCTACAAGTTGACTCTCGCCCGAATGACAGGCGAGAAGTATGTGGACTTGAACGTGGCATCGCACAGGTCTTGGAGGGACGCACTTGGGCTTGTTTTTGAGGAGATCAAGGATGAGATCCCCATTGGAACGGTCTACGAGATCATCCACCCAAATGGAACGCAGATGCACGACTTCAAGAAAACCTTGAAGGAACTCTTCCTGGATGATGCAGAGGGCAAGCCGGGCCAATTGGACGACACACATGGCCCTGAAGCCTCCCAAGTGTCTTCTGCATCTAGCAAGCGTCAAGCCACTACGGATGAAAGTGCGATCCCTGCATCTCAGCCTAGGAAGCGTCGTGCCGTGAAGGGTCCGGCCTTTTGAGCTGAATGGCGTGTCCAGGCGGTCTCAGGCATGTAGACACAGGTTCAGGTCAGTCAATGCTGTCAAATAAGTTGGGATTGAAATAATATCAGTGTCATTGTTTTACATTTTATCGGAGAACATCGGAGAACACTTGCCTGAGAAGGCCATTGCTTTGCTGCTGCAGCAGCTTTTTTGGAGCATTGTCTATCGACGATGAAGTTTTTTAATCGTTGAGAAGTCAAACAAAATGTCCGCCCAACATGCCTACTTGCGTCGCCCAAGGATACTCAAAACAAACATGATATGTTGGCGTCACCCTGACTCTGTCAGCTGCTCAGAACATACTCAAATTAGTCGGACTCAATTTGTGTCAATTGACAAATGGAGAGTCTATCCATGACAGTAAGACATTTTCCTGGCTGAGAAGCTTATTATCAGCAATTAGCAAGCCTTATCCACACTGCATTGTTTCCAGTTTTTAGCACCAACTTACCACGCAAACAGAATGCAACCAGTTGCTAAAAGTTAAGCCTGATTGCCGAAAGGCAAACCTAAACCACATACGAGAAGCTTGTCTTGAAGAAGCCTTACATGCCACAGATTGAACCTTGCCGGCTAGATGCCAGCTCGGCCTCGTGGATCAAAGGGTGGACACGCAGTTGCTGCCTGCATTTGTGTGTCAAGCTGGCAGTAGACACAGGAACCCTGGACCAATGGTTGGCCTTCTTGGGCGACGACAAGAAAACGTTCAGAACACCATCTATGCAAACTATTGTCCACTGGCTTTGCAAGACGACCCCATGGACATGAACAGAGAGATCACTATGGGCTCCACACTGGCAGACCTTCTGATATGCTCTACCTTTGCTGGCTTGGAAAGAGATTCTGCGTTCTCACGTTTTGAGTCGCTTTCCAACTGTTTGCCAATATGTTTCTTTGTTGGGCCCGGCTTGCTGCAGAACAGACAAAAGGCAGATGCACATCAGCTGAAGTGTATTTCGGAACAAAACAGAAGCCAAATGACATCTACTGAAGTTTCTTTCAGAAGAAAACCAGTACAATACCTAAAGCAATGTGTTCAATCGATGTGTGATGCAAAACTTTTTTGTTCATTGTTCATCAAGTTCCTTGTGCTGGTGATGAAGCTTGCAGAGTTGCAGAGATGCACTATTATATATAGTATTATTGCAGAGATGCATGCTATATAATCGTGTAACCTTGCAGAGATACATGTCAAACGTTGCAGCCCTTCTGATTCTGATCGCCTTACCTTAAGGTAGCTTTGATTCCTTTGCCCACTTTCCCACACATTCCACAACAAAACCTGCCCCTCGCAGCTCTTGGTTCCAGAAACAGTTTTTCCAAGCAGGCCACTCTGGCGTGATGACTCGCAGAAACAAATCCGACGAACGGCCATCAGAGAGCCTTGCCCCAAGAGCTAAGAGGTCTCGGTTGCATCTCTCTTTTAGCGCTTTCTCAGTTGATGTTGACGAGAACCACGATTCTGCTTCGGCAATTCTAGACCTTGAAGGAGATGATGACATTGGCATTCAACCTGAAGGTGGCGACCATCATCCAAGTGACATTCCTTTTGGTCAGCCTACGTCACTAGCCAAGTGGGTAATCTACAGGAACAAGCCTGTGCTCATCCCCCACTGGCACTTCAACACAGATCGTCAACACGATTTTGACTGTCAGTGCGATTACTGCACAATTTTAAATTCACATGACACTGTAGTTCTCAAAGGCAAGCCTAGTTTCAGCTGAGTTCTTGTAAGTGTCCGATTAATTTGCTGCCGGTTGAAGCTGTAGCTAGCAGCTCCTTGAGCAGCAGGCAGTCGTTGAATTAACAAAACAAAAAAACATGTCCGTCGTAACATTCTTTTATTTTCGAGCTTGGTGCACATCTCTTTGGCTTGACCAAGTGCAAGACATCATTGAACTTGCTTGACTCGTGATGATTACATCATTTTTTGTAAATTGTGTGGTAATGTTGGCTGGCTTTTGCACAGTATTCGGCTTGTGATCAAGAGAACCTTGAGTGATTCTTGATTGTTGTTGGTCATCGCAAATCAAGGTTTCATTCACTCGGCGATTTGTGACCGGTTTGATTTGTGATGGATCTGAGTCAGATCCATCACAAACACTAGCTCCGTCCAGGGCAAGGTTTCACTGACCCAGTGATTTGTGATGGATCTCAGTGAGATCCATCACAAATCACTGGGTCAAACTAGCTCCGGTGTTTGTTGGTCGTCACAAATTCAAGGTTCCGCTGACCCAGTGATTTGTGATGGATCTCACTGAGATCCATCACAAAACACTACCTCCGTCTAGAAGGACCTTGAAAAGTATAGACTATTTTTTGGTGACCTTCTAGACGGAGGTAGTGTTTTGTGATGGATCTCAGTGAGATCCATCACAAATCACTGGGTCAGCGGAACCTTGAATTTGTGACGGCCAACACTGCAATCCATCATAAATCAATGGTTTGCACAGGCCCTGGACGGAGCTAGTGTTTTGTGATGGATCTGACTCAGATCCATCACAAACCACTGAGTGAATGAAACCTTGAGTGTTTTTTTGCAAATCGCAGCTTTTGACGATCAACCGGTCAACCTGTCTATCAATTCGTGCTTCTGTGCCCATGGGAAAACGACCTTCCGGAGGCGGTGGTGGCAGCGCCAAGAAGACCCAGAAAGGCTCGGAAGCTGCTGCTCTCGCTGTGCCTCAGGCTACAGCAGCTACCTTTGTGATGAACCCGTGGTTGCAAAAGCCGCTGGATGCCTTCGATGGTCTCTGGCGTGAACACCAAGACATTTGTGGCATCTTGGAGTCCCTGTTCCCAAATGAAGCTGCTGAATCGCATTGGGCCAAGTTCCTGGCTGAGACGTTCCCGGACGAAGATGATGTGGACTATATTGCTCATTACCCTGCCCAAGCTGAAATGGTATGCCTGCGGCCTTACCAACTCTCTTGGAAGAGGGACACGGGCAACAAGGGATGGGTGATGCAGGACAGCTTTAGAAACCTTTTGCAGCTGGTGCTGGCCAAAGGATTCCTCACAGACCCAAGAACACCGGGGGTGGAAAGTCCAGTATGCTCCCCACATCACGAGAAGCTTGTCTTTAAGAAGCCTTACATGCCGCAGATTGAACCCTTTCGACTGGATGCCAGCTCGGTCTCGTGGATCAAAGGGTGGACACGCAGTTGCTGCCTGCATGTGTGTGTCAAGCTGGTGGTAGACACAGGAATCTTGGAGCCATGGTTGGCCTTCTTGGGCGACGCCAAGAAGACGTTCTCCACTATCCGTGCGAACTACCGTCCACTGGCTTTGCACGACGACCCCATGGACATGAACAGAGAGATCACTATGGGCTCCACACTGACGAGAACGAAGCCTAACTGTTTCGTTAATTTGCACCAGGTGGAGAGGAAGGCCAAGTTCCACGACGCAGATGTGACCACCCAGATGGCCAAGTTCGCAGAAGGTCTTTCCGGCTTTCAGCTCAGTCCGGCAGAGGAGGCAGCTACCAAGAACTTGCTGCTGTTCATGCATCCCAGCTGAAAAGCTTTGGTGTAAAGCATGCCGAAAGGCATCTCTAACTCAAAATTTGATTGCTGAAACAGCAAACCTAAACCACATACCAATTTTGATGATTGCTGAACAGCTCTTGTCATGTCAGGAATTCAGAGCAGCGGACGAAGCTGGCAAAAATTGGCACGAGCCACGGGATGATCAAAGGCCCATTCAGTCATGCATCCATAGGATGCCGGGGCCTGCGCTTGGGCTTCAAACCCTCCATGGAAAATGAATGGTGGAATGAGCGGATGGTCAACAATTCAGAGACCCAGGACCTCATTATCGACCGGATCTTCAATGACTGGCGGCAACTACCAGTTGGGCTTCGCAAGACATGTGACGAGAATGCAGTGTTTGCCTTCCAAAAGATTTGCCGATGTTTTCAGCTGTACCTGGATCATTTGCAGAGCAAGATTCCGGCGGAGTTGTTTGTCACTGAGCGGAAGAGGCTTATGGAAGCATTCTTCTTAGGCACGATGGACGACCATCTGAAATCTGAAGCAGACTCGCAGCCAGTGCTAGATTGCGCAAGGATCCCAGACTTCAAAGCCATCATTGACCGGCTTCACTCAGAAGTGACTCTTCAAGCGGCCAAGAAGAAAGCAGAACTCCAAAAGACGCTTGAGAATGCAACCTTCTTGAGCCTCATTGAGGACGTCAAATCAGATCAAGCCAAAGTGAACGACTACAAGGATGCTTTGGTGAGCGCGCGTGCGAACTGGAGTCAAGCGGTTTCAGCATACAAGAGGAGCCGGCGCAACAAAGGGCTGGAGCGAACTGGTGAGTTCATGAAGTCCCGCTTGGATGTGGGTCAGATGGCCGCTGAAGAGTCCATCCATGACATCCCCAAGCACTACTCTGTCTTCAAAACCGTTTCTGCTCGAGAAGTTGCTGGCTTTGGGCCTGAGAACACGCTGGAAGCTTAATAGTAGTGTCCCCTTTTGTTTTGCAAGCGTGCATCTTTCAAATTTTTGTTTTGCACCATCTTCCCAAGGGAGACGCTGGTCATTTTGGACTTCTCCTTGATGCCGACCATGACCACTGCAGCTGTCATGATCCAGAGCGCGGCTGCCATTTGTCAGCAATCTCCTATGTGTGCAGCATTGGTCCGCTACCCGAGCAAGATCAGCACACAGCCAGAGAGCGTATTCGTGTCTCAGACAAGAAAGATCGAGGATCGCCTGCTGGCAGGTGGTCTTAGCATTGGCAGTCAGATCAGTGCCATCGTGGACTGCCGTGATGCGCATGGCAACGACAAAAGGGACGCGGTGCTGACCTTCCGGCTCTGCGTTGCGGATGCTTTCGCTGAGGAATCGCCATGGATGAATTCTACAGTGATGGCTCAACATCGCATCATCCAAGATGTGCATATGCTGCCGCCCAGGGACCTCAGGTTCATTCCTCAGCAAAGTGCGCTGAACAGAAAAGACCACCTCAACCAATCAGAGCGTGCTGCCCAGATTGGACCCAAAGCCTGCAAGCAAGTCCTTGAGTCAATGATCTGTGGCCGTGCCGAAAGGCAGCCAAGGAACCGAAAGGTTATCATTGTGGACATTCATCCGACCTTCGGTGATTGGACAGATGCGACATGGCAGATGCATCTCAGTCACCTTCAGGGCGCTGACCTCCCTCTTGCAGTGTACATGGCCCGCTATGTGTCCACCGATGTGTCCGAGTTCCAGGGGATGAAGGCTCGAACGCAACAGGCATTGATGGAATCCTGGTGGAACACCCACGCTGATGCAGGACCTGAGGATCCAGTGAACTGCATGGAGGCATCAGTGTCAAAGCCCGAGTTTTCCCTCCTTTGCTTCAGCACTGACGGTAAGGTGTCTATGCCAGAGCTCATCTTGGAGCGGTTTGAGGAAAGCTCGGAGTTCTATGGCCAGTGGAAGAGCAACGTCGAGGCGCTGCAGGCAAACATTGACGAATTGAACAAGTTGAATACCCATGCTACGGATGGGAGCTGTGTGCCCCACAGCAGCAGTGGCAATGTGAATTTGACGGGGCCAGATATGAATGGAGGTGCTGTCACTTCATGGGAAGGACAACTCGGCCTCGAGGAAGTGGCTGCCAGCAGCTTCAACTTTGACGATGCGCGCCTTCATCTCATGTTCTTGGAATTTGATGTTTTTTCCTAAGCAAAAGTCGTGGTTCAGCCTCAGCAACTAAGGGCCTACAAGATCCGAGCAACGTCCAATGCACCGAGCATTTTGATCACGAAAGATCGGTCTATCTACATTCACATGGAGAAGGCTTCGCATGGCGACGGGCCATGGACATTTGGGCCCGGTGAGCTGTTTGGATTCAACACCGGGACACTGATCCAGGACGACACCGAAGTCTTGAAAAGTTTCTTGAACTTGAGAGAGTCAGTCCATGTTACACTTGAGACTGTGCTTAAGTCAATCTCACCCAGGCTCACCCAAGTCGATCATGTGGCACATCAAATCCGACATTGCCACCCCACTGGCCATGCACAAGAAGCTGACTACCGTTTCGCAGTTGGTGTTTGAAGCTTTTGAGAAGAACGTTCCTGAGCTCAAGGTTGACCAGCATGTGTGCATGCCTATCACTGTCACGCGCGAGGCTTGGTACTAAGGCTATTTTTCAACCGTGTTCAACAATGCTTCTCAGCACATTGTAACTATTGCTTTTCAGCACATTAGCTCACACACACACACACATTGGCTTACACCTGCAGGGGGCATCAGTGGAGTTGTTCTGTCGGAATGAGCTACGGCTTGGAAATATGAGCTTGGCCTTTGCTCCTGATCGTCTTCCAGACAATGAGCTCGCTGGATCAGCTTTGAAGCGAGCAGCCTGTGGCGCCTTGTTCTCTGACTTCAAGCTCCTGGAGTGCCCGAACGCAGCGATCGTGTGGGAGGTGACAGTTGACCATGCGCCACCAGCATGCATCAAAGCAGTGAAGCCTAAGTATTGGCTTCTTGGGGTTCAGGAACTGAAAGATGACTTTCTCTACAGGATCAAGTGACGACCTTTGGCTCTGGCAGCGTACCATCAATAAAAAGTTCTTGAAGTACTCATGTCTCATGACTCAAACATAAATCACTGCTAGCTAAGAATTCGTTGATTGTTGATTGGTGGTTTGGCCTCGAGTCATTGTCATGCTTTTTAACCATTGGCCTCCCGCGCAGTGTCAATAGAGGACGATTGGTCCTGAGGCAGGTGCGCTGAGTTAGGCAAACAGCACTCCCGAAAAAGCAGAAATGCTAGCCGAAATGCATTTTCTGAATGCTGAAAAGCATTATCATGAAAGCTGTGTATATATACTATAGTTCATGCATCAACAATCGTTTTAATGAAGAAAACTGCAAGCCTCAAACTGTAGTTTTTGTGACGCTCCTCATTTCTACAAGCCATCATGGTAGCTTTGACTTCTGCTCGAGTGGCTGAGCTAAGCGATTCCGGAGAAGAACAACAAGCAGTGCCCGTGGCTCCCAAGGCCAAACCATCTCCAAAGGCCAAGAATGCAAGTGGCAAGGCTAAGACGAAGGCATCTCCAAAGGCCAAGAATGCAAGTGGCAAGGCTAAGGTGAAGGCAACTCCAAAGGCCAAGAGTGCAGGTGGCAAGGCTGAGGAGAAGGGAACGGAAGCTGAGTCTGATCCTGTACCTCCTGCTCTTCCTGAAGCCTCTGATCCCACTCCACCAGCGCAGTCCTCGCCAATGAAGCGCCCAGCCAGTGCTTTCAAGCGACCTGCATCAAAGAAACAAGCATCCAATGAGAAGGAGGCAGAGATTGTGAATGATGGTGGGGAAGCTGCCGCTGTCACATCCAAGCCAAAACGGTATCGAGCTGAAGACTTCGGCCTTCCAAAAACTACCTACCTGAAGATTTGTGGCAAGACCTACTACAACACGCGCTACCCCTCGAAGGGATGTGTTTCTGTCCGGTGCAACGAGACCAAGAAAGTTCACTGGACAGCTTCTAGGCAGCAAGAAACATAACGTAATATCATGGTATGATATGGTATGACGTGAGTCAACCTAGCACATTTGTTGGTCTGAAGCACTCAGGCAAGTGTGCCTGGTGCAAGCATCCGTGAGAATGACGAGTTGTGCCTGAAGGTGATGACTTCGTTCTCTGAAACCGGCAACCTGGAGAATGCCATTGGTGTTGGGGACGAAGCTGCTGCCACTCTGGCTAGGCAGATTGAGGCAGATGTGGCAGAAGCTGAGCGTCAACGCGAGGCAGCCGAAGCCCCCAAAACTCCACCGCGACCAAGCGCTGCCGAGCCTGAAGATGTGGAGTGAAGAGGTAGCTCGTAGATCCTGCAGATCACAAGCGACCAGTCGACGGCTGAAAAGTCATTTGTTTAGCTGAAAAGCGATCATTCAAACAAACTCTAACACACACAGTTTAAGTTGCTTACTACTTACAGCAGCCACTAGCTCGCAGAAACCAGTCGTGCTGAAAAGCCCAAGTATGAAACGCAAAACATTGAGCCATGTTGGTGAGCTGACAGAGTCTGACTGTGCACCTGCGGGTCTACCTGATCCACTGAAACCAACCAAAAAGCAGCACAACCCTGTCTTTTCGGCAGTGAAGCTCAGCTCTGGCAAAGCTGCTGTGCATTCCCACAAGTTGGGTGGTGTAGTGAAAGGAACTGAGGTCAATGATATGGCAACAGCTGAAGTGGTGGCCAAAGAGCTTAACAAAGGAAGACAGCTAGACGATGTCAAATATTTGATATCGTTGATGGAAAGCGCACAGCAGAAGTGACGTTTCTTCGCATTGACCATATTGTGTCAAAGTGTGAGACTTCTAACGTTTTCGTGCCTTGATTTCTTTTGCCTTTACCAAGCAAGCAACAATTCTTTGGACCTTGCTGAGATGGAACATTTTGTTGTTGTTGATGCGTAATGCTGCAGTGTCGTTGTTCAAACTCTTCTGGATCAGTTTCGCACCAGAGCCGGAATTGTATAACTTCTGAATTTCGCTCTTCAACTTCATTGACTCTAGTTGCAACTGTTGGTGCCTAGCAGCAGCACCTTTACCGGCAACCTTTTTGTTTTGTGTTCCCAACTTTTTGCCTCTGCTCTTTGCTACTGCCAAGGCCCGTTTCACACGCTCACTGCAGAGGTCTGCCTGCTCAGCTTAGAGACTAGTTTGGTAAGTTTGAGGTTGAGCAAGGCAAGTCCCGGCCTCAAGCTCTGCATCCAACACCAGCTTTCCAAACGTGTTCTTGCCTCTGGGAGTGGTTGTATCTAGCTCCTCATTCTCACAAATGAGGACCGGAATCTTGCTCTCCTCGATCTGAATCAAATCTTTTTTGTTTCGAAGCATTCTGCATACTGTGGATGTTGCCAAGATACCATCATCTTCCTGGGTTGATGTGATAATTTCGGCCAACCTCTCAGGCCATCTTTTGTCGCGACGGGCTGAGATATCTCTAACATACCACTGGCGTACCTTCCATCTTTTGCCAAACCTTCTTTGAAAGCATCGTTTGCAATCTTCTTTCTGTGCCTGCAGTGAGTACGCATTGGAACCAACTTTCTTCAGCGTGGCACCAGGTGATTTCCCCAAGATGACATGGAGCCGCTTCATTCCCGAGTGGGGCCCCTAGATTGTTTCTGCATTTTGAGCCTATTCACTTATCATATAAGTGTTAAATGAAGCACTGAATGCTTTTTGCAAACATATTCTTTCAAGCAAACCAACTGTCCTGTGGGTGAGAACATTGAGGAAGTACCCTGACGAAGTACCCAAATCAAACCCGGGATTGGAATAGACAACCTTCATGATTGAAGCAGGTACATCCAGCAACATCAGAGACCTCTGGAACAGCGTGGACAGCATGGCCTTGCAGCCTAGTGCGGGCTTTTCAGCGCATTTCTGCATTTCTGCAGTGTTTTTCAACAATCGCTTTCCAGCGTGATTCCGCAAAGAGCTCAACTCAAAATCATGTCGTGGTCCAAGGTCGCGACGACATCTTCGAAGCTTCTTCGGAGGAGCCTGGGCTGCAAAGCATTTGTTGCAAGTCAGTCAACCAATCAAAAAACACTGCTGAAAAGCACAATGATGCTGAAAAGCACAAACATGCTGAAAAGCACAAACATGCTGAAAAGCACAAACATGTTAAGCTACAAAACGCATGCGCACGCTGTGTTTGACAAACAGTTTAGGCGCATGATTGCAATCAGTTTTGCGCTGCTACTCAGTCGGCCCAATTTTTACGATTCAACATAAGTAACTTATGTTTCCTTCGTCTCAATGGGAACAAGTTACCACGACTTCAAAAACATCTCAACACATGTCATTCATATGTCAATCAAAACAACTAAAAGGTGACGTCATTCATCAAGAATGCAAACATCTCAATGAAAACAGTCACCAATACTTCAAACACATTTTAGATTTCGGGCCGCGCGAGGTAAGAGTGAAGGTAAGAGTGAAGTTTGAAAACAACAATTTTTCATCAACCATAGCTAGCAGAATTACATTTTGAGAACACTATGCTCAACTCAATTTGACATTATACTCAACTCACTTTAACCATGTCAAAGACCATGTCTAGATGCCTTATTCAACTCACATTTGTCACATTTGATTTCGATCTAGCTGCCGTTGACGTTCCAGCCATGCCATCTCGGGAAGACTTTGGCCACCTGGTTCGCCGCGTGAACCGTGCCTCCGAAGAGACAGCCAGGTTGCACAGGGTGGTGAACTGGCTGTTGGCAGCTCTCGGTTGCAGGACTGTGCAAGAAGTTGACCGAGACGTACAGTTTGCAGTCCAACACCCAGCAACTCAACCTCTGCTGTGGCTTCGAGCAGCCAGCCAAACGGTGGTGCTACCTCCGTTTGTTACGATGGGCGCGCAGCCGCCGGCGTTCCAGATGGGGGAAGCTCCGGAGAACGAGGTGGTACAAGGCCATAGGTTGCCTTCAGATATCCACCTGAGGGTGGGAGGCGAGAGGCGGCCAGCGGAGCTGGGACGGCCACGACCTGCAGGACCAGAAGTGGCTGCGCCACGACCCACCAGGTCCACCTCCGGGTCCACCGCCGGAATTCCCACCGACACCGCCGGTGCCAACAGCGAAGCCAGCCATGACGGCACCAGGCACGACAGCACCAGCCATGACGGCACCAGGCACGGCAGCACCAGCCATGACAGCACCAGCCACGGGAGCAGCAGCCATGACGGCACCAGCCACGGGAGCAGCAGCCACGGCAGCACCAGCCACGCCAGTCAAGGCAGCACCGGTCAAGCCGAAGGAGCGTCCGAAGGTGAAAGGAGGAGAAGACCCAAAGGCCAGAACTACATCATTGCACAGAACTCTACATTAATCCTGCTGGCTGTTGACTGTCATTCATGCTTTCTAAACTTTGCTTCTAACCTCATCCTTGTCAGGCAAAGGGAGGTGCTTTGGCTGCGTCACGTGCGAAGGCGTTGAGTGTTTTGGCAATAAGCATTCAGAAGGTGGCATCATCCATAGAGCCTTTGGCTGTTGTGTTTTGACATGTTTTGAAGCTTTGTTACTAACCTCCTTGGCAGGAAGCTCCAGCTGGCACATCGTCTTCAGCGGCATCCGGTACGGTCAAGGGAATTCCAAAAGCCAGCGCCTGATACTGATC